GAGGTCACCACCCGTGATGAACTGGGCCCGGACACGCTTACTCCCGTCTGGGACTCGAAGGGAAACCTGACGGTGAAGCGCGGGAGTTCAAGAGTCCCCATGCCGGCAGGACCCGAAGAGCTTCGACATCGTTTGAATGTCATGCGAAATACGTACCTGATGTTGGCGCTAAAATTTCCAGGACGCACAGACATTGGTGATGTCACCCATGATTTGTTTGAACGCTACAAAGAATATTTGTTGGGGGATTTTGTGCACAACCTTCAGGCCAAGGACTCCTCCGATCAGGTCATCCATCGACCATCGTGGCAACTCGTGCTGTCGTACGAACAGGCCATTCGGAAGCAGGCCTTTCGCTACATGATCTCCGACAACATGACTTTGGCAGCCTCCTGGGAGAAGGCGTGGAAGGATCCAGTGACAAAAGAACGTCACTTTTCAACGCCACTCTCCTTGTATGCCAAGCGCCAGCCTTCCGTGGGGGAAGCTCCGTCCGGATCTACCTGGCAGCCACCTCCCAAAGGATTCGGACGCGGCAAGGGTAAGAAGGGCGCTGGAAAGGGCAAGAACACAAAGACCTTCCGCGGCCACGCCGCGACCAAGGCGGGCCCATATGCTTTCGCTTCAATCAGTCTGAGGGCTGCGACATTCCGTCTTGCAAGTTCAAGCACGTTTGCAGTCACTGCTTTGACGTCAATCACAACTTCATTGGATGCCCCAAGCGGCGGCCTGCGGCAGACACCGCGGGGAAGCGCTGACTTGGTACTGATGGTGGCACAGCGTTTCACGGCCAAGCGCTGCATGTCCTCTATCTCTTTTGTGGGCGCCCTCGCCCGAATTCCTTGGCTGCTTGGCTTCGCAAATTGGCACGACGTTGCGGTCTGCCGCTTAAGGTGGAGGCCATTGATATTGCTGTACGTCCTTTTGTGGACCTTTCTAATCCTAGGGTCCAAGAACAATTCCTTTCTAGAATAAAGAGGGGTGATTTCTTTGCGGTGGTACTGACGCCACCTTGTTCTACTTTTAGTCGGGCACCTTGGCGCAACAAGCGTGGTCCACGACCCACAGTTTCCTTTGAGCATCCAGACGGATTCCCAACTCTTCGTTGGGCGGAAAGACGAAAGGCCAAGCTGGGCAACAACCTGGCCGACTTCTCCTTTGCTGCTGCTCAGGCCGCGCTCGACTTGCCTGTGGCGTTCATGCTTCTGGAGCAGCCCGAGGATCTTGGTGCTGTCCGTCCACGACAGCGACCCTCTTCTATGTGGCAACGAAACGGGTTTCAAAAGCTACGTCGACATCCGCGAGTTCGACATGTCGCCTTTCTTCAGAAAGACTTTGGGGTGCACTATGCCAAGCCAACACGTATCCTTTTGCGGTCATCTGTGGTTCTGCCTCATTTTATGCATGAACGACTGCCATCTTTTGACAAAGATGGTTACTACAAAGGACCGTTGCCGCGGCATCCTGACGCGCAACCCATGCGCTCTGAACCCGGAAGGGCATTCATCACCACCGGCGCCGCAGCATGGCCTTCGGACATGTGCAAATGGATGGCAGAGGCCATCTTTCATGACTTTCTGGCGCTCGTCAACGTTGCTGGCGAGGGGGCTGAGAAGACTTCGCTGCCACGTCAGGTTGAGCCGGATGGTCTGATCACCTTCAACTTCGATCCTGTCGACGTCAGGAATGCGTCTGTGGATCTCGGGGAGGCGGAATCAATTGCATTGGCGTGTCTTGTCCGAGGTCGGGCCACTGCGGAGGACTTGAAGGCTCTCTCGGATGCGCTTCCCGACGAGGTTCGGATCAGGGAAGCAGATAAGCCTCGTGAGGGACAGAAATCCTTCACCACGGGGGCCTACATCCACGGTGACCAGGTGGGAGTGAGGAGGAATGTGCGTATGTTCCCTTTCTCCACCAGGCTCCTGGCAAAGATCCTGAAGAGCAATTTCGCTGGACGGGCCTTCTCATCTTTGGCCTTTTTCAGGGAGGTTCAGCAACCCCCACACAAGGACGCCGCGCGACAACCTGTTGCTGGCTTGCTCGGACTTCGAGAATGGGGGGCTATGGACCGAGACGAGAGGTGGCACGACTTCCAGGATTATCAGGGGCCGCGAGGTGGAGGGAGAGATCCTATCGTGCAAGGATGGGAAAATCTCCTTCGATGCTCACCTCTGGCATGCCACGGAGGACTGGAGTGGTTTCAGACTGGTACTTGCCGGGCACACCGTGGCGGAGCTTGGATCCCTGGCTGTTGAGGACTCTACATTGCTTGAGGATATCGGTTTCTGTCTCACGGAGGCACGGACACCTGAAAATGCGATATGTGCGAGGGCCGACAAGGTCGATCCGGTATATCCGCCGGTTCTTGGAAGTGAGGGCCATCGCGAATTTGTCGGGAGCCCTGGAAAAGCAGACCTTTCCATGATGGGGCCGGGCTATGCTTCTCAGGAAAGCTGGGGTCCTTCGCAGAGGCTCTACTGCGAGGAGGCTGGATGGAGAGGGCTCAGGGGAAAACTGGAGGAGATCGTGATGAACCATGCCGGTGGTCCCATCCCTTTTGACCGGGTCGTCTTCGAAATGGCTACAAAGGGTGAGGCTGGATGCAGCCTGGTCTCGGATTCGGCTCTGCGCGCTGCGATTCGTTCGGCTATGATCGAACACCTTGGGGCAAAGGGCTGGGAGATCGGTGACCTGGATGAGATCAGTCCTGGTCAACCGTTTCGGTTGAAGCTGATGTCTGCGCTCCTGCGTGATGCGGGAGACCCGGACTGGCAGGTTCTACTTGACGCGCAACGTGGATTGCCGGTTGGGATCAAGAGTCCACTTCCTCGGACGCCAGAGGTGTATGAGGAGCAGACCTCCCGGAAACTGGAGATGGGACCCGCCGATGTGGCGAAGGCTTGGAAGGCGAACTATGAGTCGGCGGCGGAACATATTGATTATGTTCGTGAGCACTTCGATGCTGAGGTGGCCGAAGGCCTGATGCTGAAGCTGGACGAAGACGCATTCTGGCGCAGGTACGGAGACGAGGCGGCCCTCTCGGCGATTGCCGTGCTGGTGGACGAGGGGCCACCTCAGAAGAAGAGGGTCATCCATGACGCATCTCACGAGGTCATGCTGAATCACAGGATCGGCGTCGGCAGATTACTGGTGGAGCCGTATCTCCGGAGGAGGGATACGATTGATGCATCACATCACCGGCAGGCGCCTTCTTGAGCTTCTTCTCTATGCTGACGACCTTGAGGCGATCGCTGGGGACCGTGCGGGACGGCGTGGGATCGTCATCTCCTATGCCTCACTGGCGGCGCTGGGCTTCCCTTTTAAATGGGCAAAAAGCTGCGGCGGCTTCGTGGTGGAGTGGGTAGGCTTCGAGACGGCTTATTCCTCCTTCAAACTCGGTCTTTCCCAGCGCCGGGCAGAGTGGCTGATCCGCTGGTGCATGGAGGTCGCCACGTCTGGGCGGACTACATGGTCCGACTTCTCATGTGCATTGTGGGGAGGCTTGGCTTTGGGGCGAATGCGTTGTCCTGGGAGCGGCCGTTTCTTGGGCCAATGTACTCATGGTCGGCAGCTACACGTTGCAGGCATGGCCCCCTCACGGTTCCGGTGATGATCAGGGTGATCCTCAGGTGGCTGGCTGAGAGGTTCCAGGAAGGAGGTCGCCTGCAGGAACCCATGACGTTGACTGAGGCGTGTGGGGAGGTTGAACTCACCTTCTTTTCGGATAAAGGCGGAGAATGGCAGGGCCTATGTCGGTGGCTACCTCTGGAACGGGCACGAGGTACTGTCTTGGTATGCGGCAGAGGTACTGCCGTCTTGGGCTCCATGGGCTTTCATTAAGAATGATTTTCAGAGGACCATTGCAAGCCTGGAATTGCTGGGCACGCTCCTCTGCGTAAAACTTTGGGGGAGCAGGATGTCAGGACGATCTCGGAGCACGGGAAGCATCACCGGGGCGACGGACAATCAGGGCAACACGTATGCTGTCACAAAGCTGATGTCCACCAAGTACCCCCTTCCCATTTTGCTGATGGAATTGTCGGAGACTCTTAGGCTTGGATCCATCTTCTTGGACTTGCGTTGGGTCCCCAGGGAGCGCAATCAATGGGCAGACGATCTTACCAATGGCGAGTTCGGTCATTTTCCCATGGATAAGAGGCAGGAGCTTGATGCTCACACAATGCGGTGGCACGTTCTTGGGAGGCTACTTGATGTGGCTCAGACCTTTCATGACGAGATGGTCGCGGAGAAGGGGGCTGCTAAGCAGCGCCGGGGAGGTGGACATGTTTCAACAGGCGCTGTGCGGAAGGCCAAAAGGGCCAG